TCAAAATAGACATCCATACACCATTCGATAGAGAATTTCAAGGGCTACATTTTGCACTAGTTACATTAAAGAAATGAGCCACTTTAATTTTTCGCCTAATGTCCGCCTGGATGCCCACTGTGTGAGTTATATGTACTACACTTCAAAGAAAACGTGTTCTTCGAGGTTTCAGAGAACGAGTTGAAGATCTCATTTAAGTTCTATGAAATATGAAGAACTTAATTTCTAGTTTTCGATAAAAAATGAGTTTTCACTCATTTTAGTTTTTCAGAAACTTTGTTTTTAAAGTTTTGGAAAACACAATATTTCTTTTGAGTTCTCTGCAGATCTCGAGTTGCAAAAGGAAAAGAAAATCACATATTTCAATCACCGCTTTTGTTTTGCTCCTAATATTTGTAAAGGACATGATCTTTTCTTACAGAAGCTTAAACTTGTTCTCAGAAAGTTCTGTTTATGTACAACAAGGTGCACACTGCAAGAACATGTTTGTTCTTGATAACAGAGTTTTAAAATTCGATTCGAACCCAACGAATCGAGTACCCGGGTCGAATGAGGCTTCAGATGACAATCGAGTTAGGATGTGGGTTACATAGCTTTCTCTACTTGTGCAGGTTTCCAGTTGACGATGTTTATACTGAATAAACGAATAATTCTACATATGATCACAGATATCATACTGATTACAAAGCGTTGACTGGTGAAAAGAGGAATTAAGATGCAGATTTTTGAAAAAGTCGAAAAAAAGAAATGTATTTTTCGGCCTGATGTTTTCTGGAAGAGAAATGTCCTAAATAGGGATTTTAAAAAGGAAAAACTCAATTTCTGTTCTTCCGGAAAATGAAAAAATCAGTTTTACAAATTATCAGAAAACATATCAAGTCACTGTTTCGGACAAGTGAAAAACACAGTTTCAGTTTTCTGAAGAAGTCCGCTTTTTTAGAGTATAGCGAGAAAAGGTAGATGTAATTTCTGTGCGAATCGCTAGATGGATGATACTCAACTAACCAGAACTTTTAGGATCATCTCGATCAATATCACTCAAATATCAAATGTAAGTATTGTCATGAATTGTTTCCATCGTCCGGTCAATTAAACAATCATGAAATCCCATGTTCAAAAGAGGAATTACACTGTCCATTAGCTAAATATGGATGCGCCGATCAGGTATGTAAATGATCCATACTGGAGGTGTAAAAAATTTGTTGTATGCATCCTGATTTAGACAACTCGAGGTGAATTTGCCTTACATTTACTAAGGGAACCACATCAAAGAGCTTTAGTGTCAGCCTGCACAGAAATCCAGACTCAAACTGAATTACTGGCCCGTAGTACCCAGGCAACGACAGTCGTGACGGACCCTCATTCTCTTAACGTTATCAAGCAAGAAGAAGTTGAACCACAAAATATGGAACTTGGAATGATGGATTCTCGCAGCTTCAGTAGTACGTCAAATATTATTCCTCAAAGTGCAAGTCATACGGATGATCTGTTCAGAGAATCAAAAAAATGTTCTGATACATTAGTAATATTGAATGAATCTATTCAGAGATTATCGGAAGATACGAGTCGATTAAACACTGACTCTCAACGTCTAAATCAGCTCTTACAATCAGCTCAGAAGGAAATAAAGGAAATTAAACTATCCGTGGATGAAACAGATACGTATTTAACTGGGTTAGCACCAAATCAAGAGATCTTACAACAAGAATTGTCAAGTATAAAAGAAAAGGTGGATGATATTGAATACGTTTTTATTGATGGTTCACTAACTTGGAAAGTGACCAATGTTTCCGAGAAAATGGCAGATGCTCAAAGTGAAAGACAAACATCCATTTACTCGCCTCCCTTCTACTCCTCGTTACATGGATACAAGATGCGAGTACGACTATATCTTCATGGAGATGGAAACGCTCGCCGCACGCACATGTCACTCTTTTTCGTGCTCATGCGAGGTGATTATGATGCTATTTTGAAATGGCCGTTCAGTCACAAAGTCACCTTTTGTTTATTTGACCAATCAGGTCAGAATCGACATGTGATCGACTCATTTCGTCCTGATACCAAGTCAAATAGTTTTCAGAGACCACGCTCAGAAATGAATATCGCTAGTGGGATTCCGAAATTTTTTCCATTACCAATGATTCAGCAGGATGACAACAACTACGTTAAGGAAGATACAATGTTCATCAAAGTGATAGTGGACTTTGCAGAACTACCCAAGATGATACTACCTTTCGCACTCAGTTTGAATCCTGGACTACCGCTTCACGTCCAACAACATTTGATCCAAACAGAAATTCAGAAAAGACAGCAGGCTACTTTAACGTCGAGCGCTAGCACAACTGCAGCAGCAAGCTCATGTGGATAGTGGGGAGTAGACACTTGGCCGCTCTTATTCTCGATTGTTACTCTGTATCTTTATCGAAAAAACGAAAAGATGGAAAATTGAAATGCTTCACCAGCATAAAGGTTCTGCATTTCACTCGTAGGAAAGCCAATACGACGATACTATAAGAAGTCATACTTTCTAGTGATAACTCGTTGGATGCACTAGTAAAAATTGAATTATGAACTTTACGCTTCGCTCGTCTCGAAGTCAGTTAACAACTACGGGTTTCTACAACTACCCGCCTTCTGATATTTATATTTGCAGTTTCAGATCTTCTTAGCGCTCACTTCGCTCGTCTCGAAGTCAGTCTACAACTACGGGTTGGCCGCAATACGGTTTTCTATGCTTTTCTTTTTGCTGAACAGCAGCAAATTCCATAACTTGTCTCTGCCTTTTGAAAATAAATACTACATTAAATATTTCAATTATTTTAAAAATAGTCTTGGATAGAAAATTTAATAACATTTCTTTCTCGATCAAATAGTGCCAGTAAGCCGAAAAAACTCCGAAGTGTGCTCTACAAACTGGGAGAGTTTAAAGAAAATCTATATGGAGGACCTCGGAGGTTAT